TACATAATGGTGTCCATAATTATATGTGGTACTGGATCCAACCTTTAATTCAAATTTCACACATTCATATCAACAATCGGATGATTATCACATTACATTATGGAGATCATTATGTACAATAATTATATACATGTAGGCTTTTCATTTTACTTTTACAATAGCAAATATGTTATCAAATACTTTTGGGAAAGCCGGACAACCCCAGGACGTCCACGGGGTTGTCAAGCACGCAGGGCCCAATACTTTTTAAGACCATGTATTCACTATAATTATTTAAAATTTAAAAAATAAAATCTATTAAATCTCGAAATTTATAAAATTACAAAATAAAAAGTATAATCCGTATAGTTGAAATATATTCAGACGGAATTATCTTTTGTTCATCAAACTTGCTAGATTCGATTTCTCAATTTCTCCATGTTCATTAAATAGGAAAAGTATAAAATAAATTTAAATTATCTTTGGATGGAAGATTCTTTATTGTTGAAATACTGATAAGTGTAGGATATAAAATGAATTACTTTAATTAATTAGGGTTAAAATTGATATTATGATAATGCTTAAATGGAAAAGATAAAGCAGAGGGTAATAATATCTACACCATATTTTTTAACAGTTGCACCACATTTTAATTGCATTTAAGACTCCTAAATTTTCTCATTGTAAAATTTATGTCCTTAACTTTTTTTTTTTTTTTTTTTGTCAAATTCTTATATTCAAAATCCTTCATTGATTAAATTTTGTTCTTGATAATTATTTCTTTCAAAATACATGTTTAGTACTTTGAAATGAGTGAAAAGTATTTTGTGGCAATTTTTTTTAATTTTAAAGTACAATGAAAATAAGTTATTTTACGCTTTCCAATGGACGTCTGGACGAAAACAGTTATAATAGATGAGGTATGCTAATTAATTGAAGATTGAAGATAAAAATGATCGAAAAGGGTTAAGAGCATAAATAAACCATTGAACAAAGATTGAGGACTTTACTTCCGATTAAAATGTGATATAACCAATAAAAAATATGGTGTGAATATAATTACCTAAAGCTAAATATGATAAATTACCCATTGGATGCTTCTCAAAATCTCCTATTAGATGGTACAAACTTTTCTATAATTTATTTTTCAAAAATTTGTCAAACATCTAAAATAACTTCTGATTGTTTCTTTGACAATTAGAAGTAGACATTTAAAATCAATTCCAAATTGAACCTAAATGTAAAAACTTTAAATTCTCAATGTAAAATTAGAATTTTTTGTTTAATTGTATATGGAGAAAAGTGATATAAGAGAAAAAATTATTGACGAATTTCCCAACATTTGACGTAGTGTGGTTAACCAGTTATGACTCCTTAAATTTTGAAAGTGAGATCTCAAATCCCTAACCTATTTAGATACGTGAGCCTAGGTTGACACGTTATCGAAATTGTCAATGTTTAACATTAAAATTGCCTGTGATCTTCACATGACTCAAAACTAAATGACAAGATCGTTGAACCACTTAACATTTCATTTCAATTCAACAAAATTCACGATAGATTTCAATTTGCATTCACCAGTTTCATAACGTGAGATCTAAATTCACGTATTTAAATAGGTTAAGAATCCAAAACATCAAATTTCAAGGTTGGAAATCTATTACTATAAGAGTGTGTTTGATTACATTTATTTTCCATGGAAAATATCAGTTTTCCACCCAAATTTCTATTTGGAGTGTTTGATTGCTATTTTTTTCATGGAAAACATTTTCCAACTTTTGAAAATATGCCTAATTTTCCTTGTTTTTAAGGAAAATATTTTTCCTGGGTAGAGGTAGTTTTTATTTTCCACAAAAGATGGAAAACGTTTTCTTTTTTATGTGATATTTTCCATGTCAATCAAACACACCCTAAGTGAAATATTAAAAAAATTCAACCCTAATTTTCTACCCTATCTATATTTCTAAAAGAAATAATCACTTAGTGGACTCAATCAATTTGATCGAATTATTGTTTATTTTATTGAGAGAAGGACCACCTCATCTTACGTTCTTGAAGTAATAAAAAATTTAATTCCACGACGCGTATATGACCAGTCATTGGATAAGTTCTAGGCCTCAATACATGGTATCACACGATTCATAATGAATTTCACATCAAATCATTAAATTATGGATATCTTTTGAAAAGAAGTTAAAAATGCATAATTAATTTGGCATCCGTTGACCGTGTTGTCAACCTTTACCAAACCCAATTCCATTGAATAATTATATATTTTATTGCAGTGAATTGAACGAAGACCGTTTTCAAGATTCTAATGACGGTGATAGATTTAATTCTCCTTGCCCATAATTAACAATAATACCTAATTTAAATCTTATTTATTGTTCGATTGGTTTGGTTTACCGATCCATATCGTTTGATCATTTTTACCTTTAATCACACGTAGAGACGAAAAATGAATTAGCCTAGTTCACAAAAAAAAATTATAGTTCAAATGATTCACACGATCACAAGTTTGCTCTAGTCGAGCCTCTTCAACAACGCTAACCTATGCAACGAAAATAGCATGATCGTTCACAAAAAAAATTCTATGTAACGAAAAAAGCATAACCCGTATTCTAAAAAATAACATGAAAATAAGACTTCCACAATGAAACTCTCCTATTTGGCTTACTAATTAATATTAGGTTTCTGGGTTGATCAAGCTCTTGTATAGTATTAAAAAAAAAAGTTGTCATATAAAAAATTCTTTAGTATGTATTATAAAATTTTAAAGCATTTAATCAATTATTATTTTATATTTTCTTTAGGCCTTAAAGAAATTTAAATAAAATTTTTATCTTAAACAATTAACAAAATTATTAATTTAGTACACTATAACTCTAGCCAAGATCGAAAATTTTATTATTTAAAAAAGATTATTAATTTATCGAATATTTTTATCGAGGTCACGATACTCATCCACCATTGTTGGATTTCCCATAGACCAAAAAGAGCAAGACTCCTAGAATTCATAATAGGCAAAATGCCTGTTTCATTTGATCATATAATCTCATTAAAAAAATACCTTTATATGGCATTAATGTAAATGTTCCTAAGTAAGCAACATTTTCTTCATATTCTTTTATTTTATTTTCTAGCATTTCTAGTCCAAATATCAACATATTTTGTCCTTAGAAGTACGTACACATTTCCTTCAAGTTGCAGCAAAATTTCTAGTTGTTCCTTAAAGTTTATTTCTTCAAATCACTCATTAAAGTTTCTAATGGTTTCAATTTAGTCACTTGCTAGTTAAATTAACGTTAAATCTTACATTTACGTTGCTAAAGCTTATGTAGACTATTAGGACGTTAATTTCATAACCACACAGACCTTAACGGAGTCTGAAATAGAATGACAGTTGTTGACCTCCAAATCAGTTCAATCCAATTGTCAACAGATCTTCACTCCTCTCTTGTTTGCACGTATTTTAGTTGCATACTTGGACACTAGCATTAGATTATACATGATCGTAGCACAGTCAGGGTTCGACGATTTCGGACACTTCGATGCTCAAGTCAAATGGTGTTGAATTTTTCAGTGTGTGAAATAGACACAATGAATGAAAATTCGAGTTTTGGGTTATAGATAGAATTTCCAAGACCGTAAATCAAAATTTTCACATTTTTTGAATGTCAATAAATATGAATATTTGTAGATGGAAGAAGTCCTTTGGATGCTTAACATGTGGCCTCATTATAATGGCCTCGTTTGGCCCTCATTTTTTTTCATTTTTTTTCATCTCTCTTATTTTCAATCACACAATCTTTCATAAAATAATATTATACATAAATCGAAAATTTTTCCTTCTTTTTCAACCATATATCAATAATATATTAAATATCACATAGAGGGAGAATCATCTTTTGAACGATTCTAGCCCTACTAAAATTCAACTATTTCAATATACATTCATTTCGTTTTTCAATATGTATTTAATTGAATTTTGGACGATTCTAGCCATACTACAATTCAATTATTTCAATATACATTCTTTTCATTTTTCAATATGTATTTAATTGAATGTTAATTATTATACATGCATGTAAATAAATAATTGAATTGTAAGAGAACGATCAAATTCATTCATGAACATGGAGTTTAATTAATTTAAATCAGTGAATATAGAAAAAAGAATAATTTATATACATTCAGATAAAGGGCGTGTATGTGAACCAACGTGAAATTTAAGTGAATATAGAAAAAGAATAATTTATTTACATTCAGATAAAGGATGCATACATGAACCAGCATGGAATTTAATTAATTTGAATTAATAGATATAGAATATAATAATTTATATACATTTAGACAAAGGGTGTTATATCATAGATTAAATGAATAATATTGAAAATTAATAAGAGTACATGAGCTTGAATAATTTATCTACTCTTATAGTAATTGATGAATAATTTATTTACTCCTAGAATAATTGAATAGCCCACAAAACTTATATTCATGTCAAGAATTTGCTCAAGAGTAAAGTGTGTGTTTTGTTAGTTATAAATATGGGTTTTTCATTTTTTTTTTATATATAAATATAGAGGGGAAATTCGTCTCAATAATTTTCTTTAAAATTAAGTATTCATTATATTAACAAATATAACAAAAATTAAATAAGAATCCTAAAAGGGAATTAGAATGCTGGAAAATATAAATAGAGTAGCATGCTTAATTTAATTGCTTCAAACCCCACCATTTGAACCATAAGAATGGATAAAAAAATTAACGCTTTGTTGGCCTAATTTAGGGGTGTAAAAGAGTCGAGCCAAGTCGACTCGCGAGTCGAAACTCCCGGCTCATGCTCGGCTCGAGCTTTTTTCAATACGGGCTTTTTTTTGCCCGAGCCGAGCCGACCTGGCTCGACTCAAAAAAATAAAGCTCGACCCGAGCTTTTGGCTCGGGCATTACCGAGCCGAGCCGGCTCGTGTTTTGATGTCTTTTTTTTTTTTTTTTTTTTAATTCTTGCAACTCATTAGGTGTTTCTCATGGGGTATAATATCTTCACTTCTTGGTTCTTGTTCTTTCTCTTCACCCGAAAGGGTCGTATATTTGATTTTGCGCTGTTTTATGTAGCCATTGTGCTCGTGTTGCAACGTATTTATTGCCTTTTTGTCCCGCATAAGCTGCTTTCTAGTGTAAGCAACTACTTTTTTTTGTAAGGATAATGTTATTTAACGGCACTGGTGCTAAACACCTATTTATAGGTGGCGTGCAAATGTCATTAATTGATATATCACCTTAAAAGTAAGAAAATAAATCACATTTAATATGCTCTATCACTTGCATGATACTTGGACTGGTGTTGCCATTTACACATTGAAGAGGAAGAAGTATTGTTATATCTCCATTTCAGGTTGATATTTTTGGAGATTGTGGTGATGGGAAATTAAAGAACGCTTTACGGATGTGAATTTAGTTTGCAGCTAGCATATCGTCCCGAATAGCAAAGAGTTTGAACCAAGATTTTCAAATGGATGGGATGGGGTATTAGTAGTCAATAAACTTTGTGAAAGTAGTATAAAGAAGGAAAGAAGTAAAAGAAATTTTGAGTTGCAATAGAAAGGGACATGGAAAGCAAAACTGTGTATACTTTTTCGTGTATACTTTTTCGTGGCAATGAGTTGGATTTTACTCTCGTTATGGTGTATTGTGGGCTCATTGAAACTTTTAGGTACCTTAATTATGAAGTTTTTTGTGTTTGATTTGAAAGTTCTGGGAAAAGAGAAGAAGATAACATTGGAAGCAAAGGGTTTTAAAAGATAGTTATCCTTTCGTTGGAATTGAATTAGGATTATGTAGTGCGTTATAATTTTATAACTCGCTCTATTTGGTGAAATTTTTGAGATTTCGAGAAAATAAGTACACATGGGCCAGCTTGGGAAGCCCGTCGACTTTACTTGCTGGATTGGCCCATGGGTTGTGGTGGGACGAATCGAGCCACCTGTGGGGCGACCTCTCATGAGCTAGGTTGCCGAACAGATGATCAGTTCATGTCGATTGACATTCCTAGAAAAGTCTCTCTGTGTAATATTGATAACTAGATTTGCCTTCGATAACAAGATCTTCTAAAATGCAACACAATCTCAAAGAAACTACGATCTTCCTACTATTTATTGATTCCAATCTCATATGTGTAATGTTAATTCATTAGAATTGTACTCTCGAATTACAAGCTTAATTTTAAATAAAGAGTAGACCAGGCCATCATATTGTGTCAATAATATAGTTCAAATAGAAAAATATATCTGCAGCTTATTCTCTAACATGTAGTTCTTATTTAAGCAAATAAAACAATTTCGTCATTTTGGTTTATTGTGACTCTTTAATTTATTTTATTTTTCAGATAATGGGTAGTGAGTTTTTGTAGCTTTTCGATTTCCAGAATTTATTTGAAATATAAACAACTTTTTTCCTTTGCAATTTTGGAAAATTTTCGTATTTAATGACCTGAAGTTCATATTTCTTTTTCCTTGGTGTTTTATTCTTGTCGTGCACAATCATCACGTTCTCAAGGTGAAAATTTACAAATTTCTAGTTTCATAAACACATGTTAGGCCATTAATAAAATGTAAATTCAATTTATACATTAGTGCATGTGTTGAAGGCAAATATAAATAAATAAAAAAGCCAATTACAGTACATCTTTAGAATTTTATCAACAGACAAGTGCCAATTTTAATTTGATTAAGATTATGAATATGGATTTGAGCGAGCGCTGTAAGTATAAACTGTCAAACTACGAAATCGAACCTAAACTACATTTTTAAATCATAGTCTATTATAAAATGCTAGAGAGATTATGGGTCCAAGACTCCAAATAACATATCCCTATATATGTTGGGAGGCACATGAGATTGAATAGGGAGTTGTACACTAGTGTACTCCCATTATTTATTTGAGAGAGTCTGTACATACAGCAAGGGTTGAATGTGAGTGTTTGTATGGTTTCTGTGAAGTCATTTTCTGTACAGATGGCAAAAACTATTTATTTTTAAAGTGATAGTAACACGATACAATGTACTTATACCTAACTTTATTTATAGTTTTTGATAATCCTAGCCTATTGGTCTTGGACTAAATTGATTTTCTTTCTCATACGATTTAATTTTTTTTAAGAAAACCATAACCATGACGCCATAAGTTCGGAACTTGACTTTATGCAATGCCCACTTTTGCCCTTTTACCTTTAGATTAATTCGTTCTAACGCGTACCTCCATTGTCTAGTACACGAGACTAATTTATCTATATGAGCCGAGTCATGGTTTGGCAGGGCTTTTCAAACACCTGGCTGCCGCTATACGTAGCGACCGCTTGTTCTAATACCTCTAGATGAGGTGGAGATTTTGACTCTTGAACCCAATTAGTCAATCTATCAATGTGCATACTCATAAATAATTTCACAGTATACTAAACTCTTGTATCACAGTATACTAAACTCTTGTATGACAATCATTTTTGTGAATATATTTTTTCTCTTAAACTCATTTTCAACTACACATTCTCATAATAAAATATTATGCAAGTAAACCGTAATTTTTTCTTATTTTTTAACCACAAATTTTATATATAAAAAAAATTATTATTCCAAACCTCATTTCTTCTAAAAATCTCTTTTGAATGGAGGTCAAACAGTAAAGAAGGTATAAAATGTAAAGTCAAACGTAGCACTTCGTGGCTTCCAAGGGCCAGAGACTTAGTTATCCCGCAATATTATAACAATTCAATGCCTTGTAATTTGTAGCTGCCCTATGCTTCATATCATTATTAATTTACAATAGTAGAAATTTTCATGCAATTAATTAATAATTATAATATTATTTTTTTCATTAAATACTGGAATTAAAAGATGGGATTCAAGAACTTAAAAGAAAAAAAAGGCACTTTCACATTTAGTACGAAAACAGAGTCTTCCTTAATGATCAAAGAACTAGAAGAATGAAAGTCTTGTTGAAAATTTTTTTTGTCCTAACAAATGGTCTAGTATTCATTATTCAATCGTATTGATTTTCCATGCACGAACAATGGATTATCAATTCTCTTTTATTCTCATTTTTGATAGATTCTTTATGGTTATTAGATGAAATTCAAGAAATAAATTTAGGCCCCGTTTGATTGCAAAAGTAAAAAAAGTAAACAAATTCCATGTAAGTTGAAAAAGAAAAACTCACAAAAACCATATGAATGCATTTTTCACTCAATTGGCCAAAAAATATGCTTTAAGTGTTTGTAAATTAGAATTCGAATTTCATTTTCACTTTCGTATCAAATAGTCAAAATAAAAAACGAATTTATCGAATGTGACATTGGAATTGAAGTCAGTCAAACAGATCCTTATTATCTTACATCTATCATGGAGGTTCGATTTCTGTTCATGAGAGTTCAATAGTCAAATCCCACATTACAAGGTTGTGTCACTTAAATTTGTTTTTTAAAAAATTGTTGCATGCATGTGACACTACAAGCAATTCATGTTATAATCAAACTTTTTTCCTTTACAAGTAAGGTGGCCTATTTTTCTTGGAACTGGCTAAGTAATCCTTTATACGGCCTTGTAGGCTTGATGTAGACTGTAGAGTTTACTCCAACAACTTAGAATGGAATTGTTATAAGAAATTGCAGAGCAGAGTACTTATATATGGATGATCTATCTTTTGGGTATCTAACATTTCTTTCTTGGCATTTTGAGTCCCTATCATTTTAAGTTTGTAGCACTTGAATCTCTATTTAATGGTTTTGGATCCACATGGCCGTTAATAAAAAAAAAAAGTAATGCTATTCGTAATCGTTCATTACGATAGTAACTCTATGTGACATATATACGACAAGTGATTATTTGATACATTAATATTTTAGTTTTTTATTGACTCGTACATTAAATAGCCACCTGCTATATGTATGTCATGTAGGGCGACTGTTATAGTGATCGATTTTGAATAAAATTATTCTTAAAAAAAAATTATTTTTTGGTAAAATGATCATTACACTTTTGAAAATAGAGAAAATAAACCAATGAATGTGAATAGAAAAGAGTTAAAAATAAAAAAATAAAAATAAAACTCTCCCCTCCGTCATTCTTATTCCTTACTTCCTGTCCCCAAAACTAGCCGTCATTATTTTTACTTTGGGAAGTACTATATGTACATAATTATTTACATAATGGTGTTGGCACTGGATCCAACCTTTAATTCAAATTTCACACTTTCATATCAACAATCGGATGATTACCACATTACATTATGGAGATCATTATGTACAATAATTATATACATGTAGACTTTTCATTTTACTTTTACAATAGCAAATATGTTATCAAATACTTTTGGGAAAGCCCTTTGGACAACTAGGGTTGGCAACGGTTCGGTTATGGGTCGGTTCGGCCAAAACCATAACCGCACCACCAAATTTTTGACCATACCATAACTTCACCATAACCACGTAAATCGATTCGATTCGGTTCGATTTTTATCTCGGTTCGGCACGGTTCGGTTCGGTTAATAACCACGAAAATAAATTATTTTTTATAGGTTCATCCGTCAAATTGATATAAAAAAATTTATGAAAAAAGTTAATGAAAACAAAAACACAATATTCCAAACGAAAATATAAACATTATCAAACAATATTCCAAACGTAAATGCAAGCATTATCCTAATTTTCAATTGTAACAAATTTAACAAACAATATTATAAATATAATAATACTAAACTTTTCCTTCATTCTTAATTGTTGTGCATCGAAGTTACTTGATGCATTCTTCCCTACAAGTCTTATTAGCATAGATCAGCATTTAAAGTTGATTCCTATTCATCCTTGGCAATATTAGCACGTCTAGAAAAACATCGAACTCTGTTTTTACATGATCAGCAGTAATAGAATGACTAACAAATGTAACAAATTTTCGAAGGCGACGACGATTTGAACCGTAGAGGCAATGGAGCCGTGCGTGAGTTTGTGGTTGTGGAGAGAAGGGTTTGTATTTATATACAGTCATACTAATGCTATTATGGGCTAATGGTAAGTAGACTGGCCGAATGAGTCAGGTAGATGTAATGAGGAGGGGAGGGATTTTGTTTTGATTTGGATAGAAAAGTAGTGTAAAGCCCATTATCAATTCAATTTTTTTTTTTTTAGCGGGTAATCGGTTCGGTTTCGGTTCGACGACGTAAATACCATACCGCACCATTACGAACCGGTTCATTAAAATCAAAACCATATCCACCCCATTGCACCATCGGTTCGATTTTTTTCCTCCATTCGGTTCGGTTAATCGCGATTTTCGGTTTTGACGGTTCAAATTGCCATCTCTATGGACAACCCCAGGACGTCCACGGGGTTGTCAAGCACGCAGGGCCCAATACTTTTTAAGACCATGTATTCACTATAATTATTTAAAATTTAAAAAATAAAATCTATTAAATCTCGAAATTTATAAAATTACAAAATAAAAAGTATAATCCGTATAGTTGAAATATATTCAGACGGAATTATCTTTTGTTCATCAAACTTGCTAGATTCGATTTCTCAATTTTTCCATGTTCATTAAATAGGAAAACTATAAAATAAATTTAAATTATCTTTGGATGGAAGATTCTTTATTGTTGAAATACTGATAAGTGTAGGATATAAAATGAATTACTTTAATTAATTAGGGTTAAAATTGATATTATGATAATGGATAAATGGAAAAGATAAAGCACAGGGTGATAATATCTACACCATAGTTTTTAATAGTTGCACCACATTTTAATTGCATTTAAGACTCCCAAATTTTCTCATTGTAAAATTTATGTCCTTAAATTTTTTTGTCAAATTCTTATATTCATAACCCTTCATTGATTAGTAAATTTTGTTCTTGATAATTATTTCTTTCAAAATATATGTTTAGTACTTTGAAATGAGTGAAAAGTATTTTGCGGCAATTTTATTTATTTATTTTAAATTACAATGAAAATAAGTTATTTTAAGCTTTCCAATGGACGTCTGGACGAAAACAGTCATAATAGATGAGATGTGCTAATTAATTGAAGATTGAAGATGAAAATGCATCGAAAAGAGTTAAGAGCATAAATAAACCATGAACAAAGATTGAGGACTTTACTTCCAATTAAAATGTGATATAACCAATAAAAAATGTGGTGTGAATATAATTACCTAAAGCTAAATATGATAAATTACCCATTGGATGCTTCTCAAAATCTCCTATTAGATGGTACAAACTTTTCTATAATTTATTTTTCAAAAATTTGTCAAACATCTAAAATAACCTCTGATTGTTTCTTTGACAATTAGAAGTAGACATTTAAAATCAATTCCAAATTGAACCTAAATGTAAAAACTTCAAATTCTCAATGTAAAATTAGATTTTTTTTTTTTTAATTGTATATGGAGAAAAGTGATATAATAGAAAAAATATATATATATATTGACGAATTTCCCAACATTTGACGTTGTGTTGTTGACCAATTATGATTTCTTAAATTTTGAAAGTGAGATCTCAAATCCCTAACCTATTTAGATATGTGGGCCTAGGTTGATACGTTATCGACATTGTCAATGTTTAACATTAAAATTGCATGTGATCTTCACATGACTCAAAGTTAAATGGCAAAATCATTAAACCGTTAACATTTCATTTCAATTCAACAAAATTCACGATAAATTTCAATTTGCATACACTGGATTCATAACGTGAGATCTAAATTCACTTACTTAAATAGTTTAAGAATCCAAAACCTCAAATTTCAAGGTTGGAAATCTATAACTATAAGTGAAATATTAGAAAATTCAACCCTAATTTTCTACCCTATCTATACTTCTAAAAGAAATAATCACTTAGTGGACTCAATCAATTTGATCGAATTATTGTTTATTTTATTGAGAGAAGGACCACCTCATCTTACGTTCTTGAAGTTATAAAAAATTTAATTCCACGACGCGTATATGACCAGTCATTGGATAAGTTCTAGGCCTCAATACATGGTATCACACGATTCATAATGAATTTCACATCAAATCATTAAATTATGGATATCTTTTGAAAAGAAGTTAAAAATGCATAATTAATTTGGCATCCGTTGACCGTGTTGTCAACCTTTACCAAACCCAATTCCATTGATTAATTACATATTTTATTGCAGTGAATTGAACGAAGACCGTTTTCAAGATTCTAATGACGGCGATAGATTTAATTATCCTTGCCCATAATTAACAATAATACCTAATTTAAATCTTATTTATTGTTCGATTGGTTTGGTTTACCGATCCATGTCGTTTGATCCTTTAATCACACGTAGAGACGAAAAATGAATTAGGCTAGTTCACAAAAAAAAATTATAGTTCAAATGATTCACACGATCACAAGTTTGCTCTAGTCGAGCCTCTTCAACAACGCTAACCTATGCAACGAAAATAGCATGATCGTTCACAAAAAAAATTCTATGTAACGAAAAAAGCATAACCCGTATTCTAAAAAATAACATGAAAATAAGACTTCCACAATGAAACTCTCCTATTTGGCTTACTAATTAATATTAGGTTTCTGGGTTGATCAAGCTCTTGTATAGTATCAAAAAAAAAAGTTGTCATATAAAAAATTCTTTAGTATGTATTATAAAATTTTAAAGCATTTAATCAATTATTATTTTATATTTTCTTTAGGCCTTAAAGAAATTTAAATAAAATTTTTATCTTAAACAATTAGCAAAATTATTAATTTAGTACACTATAACTCTAGCCAAGATCGAAAATTTTATTATTTAAAAAAGATTATTAATTTATCGAATATTTTTATCGAGGTCACGATACTCATCCACCATTGTTGGATTTCCCATAGACCAAAAAGAGCAAGACTCCTAGAATTCATAATAGGCAAAATGCCTGTTTCATTTGATCATATAATCTCATTAAAAAAATACCTTTATATGGCATTAATGTAAATGTTCCTAAGTAAGCAACATTTTCTTCATATTCTTTTATTTTATTTTCTAGCATTTCTAGTCCAAATATCAACATATTTTGTCCTTAGAAGTACGTACACATTTCCTTCAAGTTGCAGCAAAATTTCTAGTTGTTCCTTAAAGTTTATTTCTTCAAATCACTCATTAAAGTTTCTAATGGTTTCAATTTAGTCACTTGCTAGTTAAATTAACGTTAAATCTTACATTTACGTTGCTAAAGCTTATGTAGACTATTAGGACGTTAATTTCATAACCACACAGACCTTAACGGAGTCTGAAATAGAATGACAGTTGTTGACCTCCAAATCAGTTCAATCCAATTGTCAACAGATCTTCACTCCTCTCTTGTTTGCACGTATTTTAGTTCCATACTTGGACACTAGCATTAGATTATACATGATCGTAGCACAGTCAGGGTTCGACGATTTCGGACACTTCGATGCTCAAGTCAAATGGTGTTGAATTTTTCAGTGTGTGAAATAGACACAATGAACGAAAATTCGAGTTTTGGGTTATAGATAGAATTTCCAAGACCGTAAATCAAAATTTTCACATTTTTTGAATGTCAATAAATATGAATATTTGTAGATGGAAGAAGTCCTTTGGATGCTTAACATGTGGCCTCATTATAATGGCCTCGTTTGGCCCTCATTTTTTTTCATTTTTTTTTCATCTCTCTTATTTTCAATCACACAATCTTTCATAGAATAATATTATACATAAATCGAAAATTTTTCATTCTTTTTCAACCATATATCAATAATATATTAAATATCACATAGAGGGAGAATCATCTTTTGAACGATTCTAGCCCTACTAAAATTCAACTATTTCAATATACATTCATTTCGTTTTTCAATATGTATTTAATTGAATTTTGGACGATTCTAGCCATACTACAATTCAATTATTTCAATATACATTCTTTTCATTTTTCAATATGTATTTAATTGAATGTTAATTATTATACATGCATGTAAATAAATAATTGAATTGTAAGAGAACGATCAAATTCATTCATGAACATGAAGTTTAATTAATTTAAATCAGTGAATATAGAAAAAAGAATAATTTATATACATTCAGATAAAGGGCGTGTATGTGAACCAACGTGAAATTTAAGTGAATATAGAAAAAGAATAATTTATTTACATTCAGATAAAGGATGCATACATGAACCGAAACTTTCTTCACTTGTTAATTTTGTGGCGTACACAAACAATCTTACAGGCTCATTGCCTCAGTCTCTTGGCAACTTAAGAAACTTGAGAACATTTCGAGCTGGTCAGAATGAAATCTCTGGAAGCTTACCAACAGGGATTGGTTATTGTCAAAGCCTGGAAACTCTTGGTCTTGCTCAAAATAGAATAGAAGGTAATCTACCTAAAGAGCTTGGCATGCTCAAGAGCTTAAGAGAAGTGATTCTATGGGAGAACCAGTTTTCTGGATTTATACCTAAGGAACTTGGAAATTGTACGAATCTTGAGATGCTTGCTTTGTACCAGAACAATCTTGCCGGCGGGATTCCTGCCGAACTTGGGAACCTTAAGTCTATGCAAAGGTTATACCTATACCGGAATGGATTAAATGGAACAATTCCAAGGGAGATTGGGAATCTTACTCAGGCACTTGAAATTGATTTCTCGGAGAACTATTTGTCAGGAGAAATTCCAACTGAGTTAACTCAGATAAAGAGTCTAAATTTACTATACTTGTTCCAGAATGAGCTTACTGGGGTTATCCCAAATGAGCTTAGTAGCTTGAAGAAATTGATGAGGTTAGACTTGTCGATTAATCGCTTGACAGGCCCAATTCCATTTGGCTTTCAGTATCTTACTGAACTATATCATTTACTGCTTTTCTCTAATTCTTTGAGTGGTAGCATACCTCAACGTTTTGGGCTTTACAGTCGACTTTGGGTAGTTGATTTTTCCGAAAATGACCTCACTGGAAGAATTCCTCCTCACCTTTGTCGGCATTCTAACTTGATGTTGCTGAATCTTGAGTCTAATAAATTGTATGGAAACATCCCGCCTGGTGTCATTAATTGCATATCTTTGCAACAACTTCGTCTCAGTGGTAACAGACTGGCTGGGACCTTTCCTTCTGATTTATGCAAATTGCCAAAACTTGCTGCTATTGAATTGGGTCAGAACAAGCTCAGTGGTCCAATGCCTCATGAGGTCGGGGAGTGCCAAAAGTTGCAAAGGCTTGATCTCTCAGGAAATCAATTCACATCTGAGTTGCCGAAGGAGATAGGAAATCTATCCCAGCTTGTCTCTTTTAATGTTTCATCAAACTCGTTCACTGGGCGGATCCCACCGGAAATTTTTCACTGCAAGGCTCTGCAAAGGCTTGATCTTAGCCAAAACAGCTTCATCGATGCTATACCAAAGGAGCTAGGGACACTTTCACTTCTTGAACGTCTTATTGTTTCAGAAAATATGTTTTCTGGAAATATTCCAGCAGCATTGGGCAATCTTTCACATTTGACCGAGTTGCAGATGGGTGGAAATTTATTATCCGGTGAGATACCAAAGGAGTTGGGTGATCTTGCAGGCCTGCAAATTGCATTGAATCTTAGTTGTAACAACTTAACTGGGAGAATACCACCTGAGCTTGGAAACCTTATCTTATTAGAATCTCTCTTGCTCAACAACAATCATTTGAGCGGTGAAATTCCTGGCACATTTGTAAATCTGTCTAGCTTATTGGGCTGCAACTTCTCATATAACGACTTAACTGGGCCATTGCCTTCTGTACAGTTGTTTCAGACCATGAGTATCAGTAGCTTCATTGGAAACAAAGGGCTTTGTGGTGGGCTGCTTGGTAATTGTAGTGGGTCTACATCTTTTGACACAATTCCTCCTCGTGTGAGAAGGTCAGATGCTCCTCAAGGAAAGGTCATCATTTTGGTTGCAGCTGTGATTGGTGGAGTTTCTCTTGTTCTAATTGTAGTTATTCTGTATCTTATGAAGCGTCATCCAGTCGAGATGGCTGCGTCATTGCAAGAAGAAAATGGCACATCATCCCCAGATTCTGATATTTATTTTCGTCCAAAAGAGGGGTTCACTTTTCAGGACCTCGTTGAGGCCACAAACAATTTTAATGATAATTATATTATTGGAAGGGGAGGAGTTGGGACAGTCTATAAAGCAGTTTTGCCATCCACTCAAATAATTGCAGTCAAGAAGCTGGCATCTAATAGGGAGGGTAATAACATAGAGAACAGCTTTCGAGCTGAGATTTTAACTCTTGGAAACATTAGGCATCGTAACATTGTAAAGTTATTTGGCTTTTGCTATCACCAAGGTTCCAATCTCCTTCTTTATGAGTACATGGCAAGGGGTAGCTTGGGTGAATTTCTTTATGGGGAATCTTGTGACCTAGACTGGCCAACACGGTTCTCAATTGCTCTTGGAGCTGCTGAAGGCCTAGCTTATTTACATCATGACTGCAGACCAAAGATCATCCATCGTGATATAAAGCCTAATAATATTCTTCTTGATGACAAGTTTGAAGCTCATGTTGGTGATTTTGGTTTGGCAAAAGTGATTGACATGCCTCAGTCGAAGTCAATGTCTGCAGTTGCTGGATCATATGGTTACATAGCCCCCGGTGGGTATCTCTTGTCCCGCTGCATGATATCTATGTCTTTTATATCCATGTTTATCTTAATAGTATATTGCTTCCTTAAAATTTGAAATGCAATGACTGTATGAGGTATTTTGTCCATAAGTAGTGCATAAACTAGTCTTCACGCTATAAGTATCATCACTTACATTAAAGGGGATACCAGATACCATTTAATGCTCCTCACGCAACCTCGAAGATGAATGGGAAAAAGTTAAGGGCCGTTAACTTAGTAATTATTCAAGTTTCTTTTATCAGTTTAACTATTAAGTCCCTGATTAAAATCAAATTAAAGTCTCAAGTCAAAGTCAACAATTAATTTTAGTCTCACATTTCATATGATCCAAAACTTTCAATCATAAATTTCATTGACTTTTATCAAAATCTACTAAAAATCTAATTTTCATCTACACCAACTGGGGGCTAAGTATTTTTCAAGTTTGTCATGTACTTCTGGTTTTGCTGTTTAGATTTGTGATATTATAAGAAAGTTATGTAGTTCTCTTTGTGATCATGTTACGATAACTTGATTAATTTTAGGGCCTCTTCTGCTCTGTTGTTATTGTTCTTCTATTTGTCGAGCCCACATCTATAGAAGTAGCAGTTGTTCTAGTTTTCATTTTTTTTACTTAATCTAGTTAATATTTGTTGAAGACGTCTTTTTTGGTGTCATTTATTACTACATTTTCTTTCCTTGTTGTAGAACTGTTTTAGAAGTAACTTATTTGCATTACAAGTGACATTTTGCGACAAAACTTGTGGTTGCCTTAGGATAAAATTTTTTCGTTTGGTTTCTCTCTCTCGTAAAGGATCAATCATTTTAGGGTGAACAGAATTACATCTTGGTATGTCCATTTCCAGTTTATGATGTATTTGATTTAAGTGCATGAGGATGAGATATGAGATCTGAAATTTTCAATCTTTTGTGAATTAAATTACATAAATAAAATCTTGAGTTATCACAGTTCTTGTAAAACTTCAATGCAGTATATGCACTCTACTCCAAGATAATCTCCATTAGTAACAGAATAAAATCTGTATTCATTCTTTATCTTCATCAAAAAGTATATAAAATACTAACAGGACTCTATCAGTCTAATTCTGATAAAGATCTTACTCTTACAGTTTGTGAGGGATCCTTGGAGATCCTTGATCTCTTTATGTCTAATAGTTTGCATAAGATCATTGGAGATCTCTCTCTATGCCTTGTAGTTTGCATTGGAACGTCGGTGATCTCACTAGTTCTTATAGTTTGGCTGTGATCCTCAAGTATAGGCCTTTCGTGCATGAGAACACCCTGATGGTCGTCAAGTTATTGATTCCTGTGGACCCCAAAGAATCCTTCTAGGTCTTATAGTTTGCCTTTGGACCCCCAAAGGATCTCGGTATGTCTTGTGCTGTGGACCCTCAAAGGGTCTTGCTAGGTCTTATTAGGATCTCTCATTCTCCTCTGAGTCTTTTTCTCATTGGGAGGTTTGTTGAGTGACCTGCACTTTTTACCATGAATAATGGCAATGAACTAGAATTCTACATAAATAAAAATTGATTAGTGTTCATATCTATAATAGTAACCAGAATATTCACGTGGAGTCCCGAGAGTTGAAGTTGAAAGTGTTGGCATGGATCATCTTGAGTAATATATGCTTATCCTCTTTAGTGGGTTGCGAACATTTAATTTGGCATAGTCCAATCTGGTGGCAAAAATTGTTTTGTCGATGTCTCGCTCGCATAATCAGCTGCCTGAACTAATATAGCCCATTCTTAAGAGTGAAGTTGACTGGCATTAATGTGATCTGGTATGCTTTAAGGATCCTTTTCAGGAGAGCTCTAATGTTGGAGCAGTCCTGTAGCCTCTCTTCTCCCTTCTCTTGAAAATGTCATCTCAATATTTCACTAATGATCAATGAATCCTTTGTAGAACCTATGAACTGAACGGACTATTTTTACTGCTGGACGATACCATGTGATGATTTATGAAGGCAGAGCGACGTATCTGCAATCATTGGTTCAAGCTTTAAAATGAAACAGGAAAATTTTTCATTTTCCATTTTCCATCTAGTGATGATCTCTCTCTCTCATGTCCTTCTGAGCAGTAAAAAACTAATCTGGAGCTAGCCTACAGATAAGGCCCTGGACCATGATAACAATGTAATCCATTTCAGCCTTTACATTTGAACTAGTGTCTGGTGCAATTTCTAAATGGACTTAGGTAGAATGAATTGGATAAAAATAAAAAGATTTCATCGTGCTTGAACTTCCCAGATTTTTTAAATATTCGACTTTCCATTTGGACAAGAAAGCTTCAGCATGTTTCTTCAGTGCTTGGCTAAGCATACTGTTCTATATATCGTCAAGGAGAAAGAAAATGTAAAGAATAGTTCCTACGCTTAATAGATTAGAGAGGTTCCAAAACTGAATATTGCAAAATGTTATTGCTGATTTTTTAATTTTCATGTGTGTCCCAGTTCAACATTTCATCTTTGTTGTTCTTAGAAAAGTAACTAGACTTTCTCCATGTTATTAGGAATCCATCTTATTAGTTGGTTTTTTCTCTTGTTTTCCTTTTTTCTTTTTCCATTGCAGAATATGCGTACACCATGAAAGTTACAGAAAAATGTGATATTTACAGCTACGGCGTGGTCCTCTTGGAGTTGCTAACTGGAAAAATGCCCGTACAGCCTCTAGAACAAGGAGGTGATCTTGTCACATGGGTGAGGAATTATATTCGGGAGCATTCTTTGTCAACTGGGATACTTGATAGCCGTTTGAATCTGAAAGATGAAAGAACTACTAATCACATGATTAGTGTATTAAAAATTGCTTTGTTGTGCACAAGCATGTCACCCTTCGATCGGCCAACGATGAGGCAGGTTGTTCTAATGCTGATGGAATCAAACGACAGAGAAGGAAATGTCATTTCACCACCAGATCACGAGCTTTCTCCAGAACATGATGCCTTGTGAATGTACGTATTGCTTTTCTTTTGCTTTAACTGTAATGAATCTTTTGGGGGCAGATTCTTCCCTTTATTACTTACCAAGGTTAATTCATAGAAATTTGTGTACATTTATTGAAATAAATTATTGTTATTCATAATCCTTAGTATGTGTTTGAGGCAGTGGCATAGGAAGGTGGCCACTACTGGAACCTGGAATTTTTTATTTTTTATATATTAAATTTTGTATTTTTATTATTAATATATTTTTTGTTTGATAAATTTTCCTACAGTTAAATTAGGCCTTCATTCATTCTGAGTCCTGGCTCCGCCACTGCCTTGAACTGCTCAAATTGAAAGTATTTCCATACCATCAGATGTACCACTTTGATCACGAGTTGAAAAACAATATATCTGCAAGAGATTAGGCAAAATGCTTAATTTATAATTTTTTATATATTAAATCAAGTGTAAAATGAGTAAAAGTTAACTCGAAACAGTCTTCTTTGTACCTGATTGGTCCCTCCTTGTCTCTCTCCTAACATTTTGAATATTTTTCTTTTTTGTAGTGTGCAGTGCCTATTAACTTAATATAAGCTTATCCACGTTAGACTTTATCTCGTCTATATAATGCATTTTATCTTATCTTTTCTGAAAGTATGGCTTTGTGATGCTTCACACTGCTTTAACTTTTAAAATTACCAAGTTAACGTTTGAGATTACTGGTTAGTTCGACTTTACGTGCGGAATTGACTAATTAAAGCAACAAGTTACTTTTAATTATTTTTCTAGATGATTAAACATACAAGTTCATTTTTCCTATGTTTGAATGCCACAATTGTTATAGTATGGAAAACAGTAAACAATGCACAATTTGTTGACGGAGAAACCCAATATGAAAAAAATTCTGGGATCAAGTAAATTACCTCCACTATAGTCAATTAGGGTTACAGTGCGATTCCATACTAACAATTCTCTCTACTTCCAGCTATTGTAATTCCTGTAAACTTTAATACCCGTTGTCAATCTTTTCAGTCTCACAATTTGCTGTCGTAGATATTGTCTATACATTCCACTAGACTTTTCGATCTACCTCGTGTAGCCACAAGATCTGTTGTCTTTTTCCACCTCCTGATCTTAAATTGATTGCCTTTCCAAGTGGAATTCCCAAGGTTCTGTTATGGTACTTTTCTTGCGCTTGAAATCCACCTTTTTCAATCCTCAATGAGAGAATCCCTTCCCAACCTGATATTTATATAATACAAAATGATTAGTTAAAGGTAATCAAAATTAGTATACTTAAATGAGTTACCATCTTCAGAAGGCATGTTAAAGGATAAATCAACATTGATTTAATATCAAAAAATAAACAAACATATAAGGATTTGTGTTATTATTATTATTATTTTTTAATAAAGTTGATATAGTTCGGTTTACTCATTAGACGAAATATGGGTTGATTGCTCTTGGTCCAGCAACTCGACCCGATTTTGAGCTATACTCACCAAGCCTTTATTGCAGCCCGCGCAGCCGACAAAGGAAGGAACTAAATCTTCGGATTAGTATACATTTCAGATTGAATTATTATCATAAATTGAATTTACAAATTATATTTCTCTACAATTGATTAAGTAACGATACAGTGGATATACTCCTCTAAATTTCATTTTAGGTCTATCCTAAACATACGCGAAATTCAATGAAAGGGGCCTTGATTAAGAGTCTCAAAATCTTTTTGTTTTTATAAAGACTTAATTAGAAAGATTTTCTTGGAATTCCTGGGAATTTTTTGACCGTTATTTCACTATTCAAGCCGTAATTTTTGACTTATTTCCTCACAGGTGGACCCCACTTTTATTCTAAAGGTCAAAAAATCAATTTTCAAAATCCATCCCAAACGGGGCCAAGGATTTGTGCAAAACTCTAAAACAAAATTAAGCTAATTATTGAGATATATGTAATATTAATAATTTTTCTTGGCGGTAACTTAACATGACAAACTTCATTCGCCATAGTGGGAAAATGTATTGGAATTAATCTATTTTGTACACTGTTTTTGTATAACATTGTTAACAATGCTGGTTGTGACAAAAAAAGTATTGATTGAAAAGATGAATTGTTTTTTAAACTGTTGCATTGCTCGTAGTGTTATTAGTAACCAAAATGCAAAATGAACTTTCATTAGAAAGGCTCCTTGCACTATAATTCGTTTTTGGCGCATCGCATTCTACTATACACACGCGATAGTAGCGCTTGACTGTAGGTTCTATTTTGAGAAGGAGTTGAGATCTGATATCCATTTTTTACTGTCTACATAATTAATTATTGACGCATCATTTAAATTAACATGCCATGAATTTGGTGGATTAGTGGTAAAGTTAATGAGTGTAAATTTGAAATGACATGTTAGTTAAAAATAATGTGTCAATAATTAATTGGACGAACAACAAAAATTAGACAATAGATCTCAACTAGGAAGGAAGTATCTTACATTCATTTGTTAGTGCTTGTCTTGTTAATTATTATGTTGGAATTGTTTCAAAAACATTGTTAATCGACCTATACCCATAAACGTTTTTAAGGTAGAGCATCCACTTAAAATATATAGGTTTTAAATCTTCATTGAAATTAGAAATTTCAGAAAAATCATGTAGTGTTAGGGTCAAAAGTTGCTTCACCGTATTTTCCTCTTCTCTTCCGTAACAAATCCTACAAAATGTACGAGTGTTATCTTCGACGCTCAAATTAGGGACCCAGTGGATAATGTCAACAATTGTGTATGGTAAATTTTGCTTTCTCTTGCATTTTTCATTGGTCATTCAACCATGTCTGGACAATGAAAAGATCCACTTAATCCTTCTTCCATCATGCTTAGTTAGTGGAATAAATGAGCTAGAAAGTGGGCAATAAACTGTATAAGTGGGTGGTTTAGTGAGTTATCCACATAAATGGTGCCCAAGAAAAACTAGCGAACACCGATTTTTCCAATCTCTCATTGTCCAAAATGGTCCAAATCGGTGGGGAGAAAAAAAATAAATAAATAAAAAACCAAACCCTCCATGCTCCCTAAATGTTTTTATTTTCACAACAATTTATGATTTCTTGAAGATATCTAGAATCTTGTCTTGTTGATGCGGGTTGATCTTGATTTCCTGTTGATAAACAAGAAGAAAACTATGCATCTAATGTCTTTTCATCAATTGTTATATGTTTATTGATATGGATGGTATATAATTTGAAATATTTAGTGATATATATTTGCTTGGTCCATTTGCCACCGGATGATCCAGACTTGTTTTTGTATGTCTTATTACTGTGACACTGCTCTGCAACATTGGCTTTAGCAACACCAGGATTGAGCCACTTCTTTTCTAAACTTTTGTTTATGTTATTCAATTCGAAGTTTAACAATCAATTCTTCGACGTCCATTTTCTTTCTCTTATGTTTAAGATAATTCTTAAAATCTTTCCACGCTGGAGGTAGCTTTTCAATAATTGCAGCTATTTGGAAAGTTTCACTCAAATCATCCCCTCGGCAAGAATAGATCATGAACAATCATTTAAAATTCTTATACTTGACCGATTACAGTTTTTGAGTCCACCATTTTATAATCTAAGAGTCAGTCAACAATGAACTTTTTAACTCCGACATCCTCAGTTTAATTTTTTTGGTCCAAAGACTAATGTGTCCTTTGCAGTTTTCATCGTACTATACACGTTGTATAGCGTATCTACTAAGCCATTCATGATATAGTTTCGGCACAAAAAATCCGAATGGTTCCAATCATCAAATGCATTGATTGCTTGAATACCTCCCTTACTCTCTTTGAGTTTTGGAGCAGTTTCAGTCAAGAGTCTCGCAAGATTCAAGTGGATAGATAAAATAATATTTTCTTCTGCCGTCTCTTGAAATTTAAGCCATTGAATTTCTCTGTCTTTTTTCCATGATTAATCGGAACAGTAACTGTATGACCAATTGTTCGAGCCACAGTTTGATTCACAACAGGACTTGACAATCTAGCCACAATTTGAGCAATAACAGAATTGGGCCCTTGAGTTACAGCAGAGTCCACAACCTAATTTTCAGTAGCCACAGTTTTAGCCACATCCATGTCGGTTGCCATTTCTGAAAATCAGACAAATATTAGTTCTCAATAAAACCAAAATAAACTCTCTGTTATGAACCTATTTTAAGACTATTAGGAAAAAGGTTTAGTGACTGTAACAAATGCCGGGTGGACACATATCGGATTTGCAACTAACAGAAATACCAAATTTGCACATACCAGATATGCAACGAACAGAAATATCAGATTCGCACATAACGATATGCAACTAATAGAAATACTGGATTTGTACATACAGGATATGCAACGAACATAGATACCAAAATTTCAATAGCTTATCGAATATTTTAGCCAAAATATATCAGATTAAATAATTTTGTCAATTGCAATAAAACAAAACAAGTTAATCTAAATTACTATAAAGCAAGTAACTAAAAAATCAAATGTAATTTGAAAATGAGACCTGGGTAAACACAGTTTCCTTAAAACATATTCTTTTCCTCGCCCTATGTACTTGAGGTTAAGTTTGGGCGCCTATTTTACAGGATACAACGAAAAATCAGTAGAGTTCGAGCATTGTTGAAACTACTCCGGCGAATTGACTTAGTATCTTAATCATCAAAACTGAAAAGAAAAATTTCGGGCAAGGAGCTGTAAAACTAAGTATGCAGTATGTAGATAAAAAAACCTACGCAGAAACTGTGTTGCTTCTTGTGTGGAATAGTGAAAAAACTGGTTCTCATATATAGACTTAACACCCATGAATGGTGAGTTAATTCTGTCTATAAGTATGTTATTAACTTGTATTATAATGACAATAACTATTGGAGTTTCAATAATTTTGGAATTTAAAAGGTCAGTTGGAGGAAAAAAATTGGCAAAACATAGGCCCTCCTTAGGGGCCAATTTTGGTCATTTCGGTTTGACATTCATGTGCGCAGGTTGCACCCATATACAAGTTGAAGGTCCGAAGTCTATTTCGGTCCATGATTTGCACTCCCTGTACGTGCACGTCGAGAGAGTCTCTATATTACACATGATCACACATTTTCAAAGTGCAATCCTATATAAGATATATATTTTTTCTTTATTTTCC